CGCAGCATCAAACAAGGAGTCCTTATCTACAATTGCGTATTATTTTTGTACCTTTTTCTTGTGTGTGTGGCTTCCTGTCTAATCATTAATTCTTATTCTGATCAATAAATATAAAATCAGATGTTGGTAGTGAAAAGATCACATACCTTTTCAGAAGCAGATCTAAGGAGGGGGGGGGGGATGCAGTTACCAGTACACAAAATTTGTTGTATCATTTGCTATGTGTTCGCAGTTGTTCACATTATGTTTTGGTGTTGTCTTAAGTTGTTTGCTTTTAAATAAGGTTTTCATCAACTGGCAGTTACATTATACTTAAGTTGACAAGGTGTACCCTCTCTCCATCCCCCCCAAAAAAATTGATCTCCCCCTCCCCACCTTTCCCTGGGCTTACAATTGTAAGTATATTTTAAAGGAGAAAATAGTGACAGTGTGTAAAATTAATAGTCTGTTGTCATTACAAAGGGTTGAATTATTCAATAATTTTTTTCAGAGTCTTCATCTCCTGATTGCACATGATGCACAACAGAAAATTGTATTGACTGGAAATAATGAAATTGATAAAAGAGTCGGTAAGTAATGAAAGTGAGCACTGAATGCAGATGCCATCTGCTTATGAACTCTGCTCTCAGAAAACTGCTTTCACCTCTGAAAGGAATGAATTCAAAATAAAACAGGTTCTCAGTCTTTAAAATGTTTTCCTCTTAAAATAAATTGAACTCAATCTCAGCATTGAGTAATGTTAGGCCTGGTTCAGACACTGATCTTTTCATGAGCCAAACCTAATTCCTTGAATTAAGGACATGAAAGGATTGGCATTGGAATCAATTTGGAACCGCTATTTCAATTTGGAACAGCTCACCTGTTCTTCCCACCTGGCTTGGCCGAGAATTTCACCTTTGGAATGGCTTTGATTCAGATGCCATACTTTCCATGTGCCAATCCTGGTGCATAAATTATCATAATGTATTTTGCAAGCAGTTTGACTGGTTTTACTGAAACTGCATTTGGAACGGCCAAAAAAGGACAGCATCTGAATTAACAAGCATACTTTTTTTAATTTGGGTTTATCCAAATTAGAATTGAGTTTGGCTCATGAAAAGTTTGGCGTTTGAACCCGGCCTTTGTAAAATTAAACTTATAAACACATTTTGCAAAAAGTAAAATTGCATGTTTATAAACCTGGTTACCACGATGACATGATTATTGTTTACAAACAAATGGTAGGTTCATTTACAAACAGCAGACATTTTGGTGTCTCATTAATATCTATACTTGAAAAAAATTTCTTTATTTCATGAAAATTAACTTTTAATTATAGTGGAGCTCATAAAGCATAGCCCCTTAATTATACAAAATGGTAGTAGTGACCCATTAAGCCGAAAAAATTTGGACTTATGACCGTCTGGGCATCCGCACAAAGTGCTACTTTTAGCATGTGTGGTCAACTGTACCATGGGCACGACAACACCACAGCTTTGTCCAGTAGTCCAGTGGTCAGAGCACTGGGCTCCGAGTTGGACAACCTGGGTTCTAGTCCTGGCTGGGGTAAGGTGTTGTGCCCTTGAGACGTGCGGAGAAAACAAATGCGAGCTCTGCTTTTAGGGG